ATAGACTGAATGTCCTGAAGCGTCTTGCTGGTAGCGTATGAGACTGTGCGCGCTCAACTCTAAACACCACTTACAAGACGTTTATTCAGCAAATAATGTTGTATTGCTGTGTACCACTCATTACAGCCACAGAGGTGACTCTCAAACCCCTCGAGAAAGCACACAACCAAGCATTACGACTAATTACTGGAGGGATAAAATCAACACCCATTGATGCAATGCTCCTAGTTACAGGAAGCACCACAATAGGTTCCATAATCAAAGAAAAGGCCTTGATCCTGTACGAGAAGCTACTGCGCATTCCCATGGACAAGTTCTTTAGCCCCTATGAGAATAGACCAAGACATCTGAAAACGCAATCTGGTCTAATACAGAAAGCCATAGAACTGAAGAAAGCGTTACAAATCGATGACAAACCAAAAAGCCTCTCTCTTCCCATGAACACATTAGCAGACATTGATGTAGTGTGTCGCACCCAACTGCTCGACTTCTTCAGGAAATCAAACACCCCTCCAGAAAAAATGCGCTCACTGGCACTTGAGACAATCAATGTCAATTATCCTGCAGATCAATGGCTCCAAGTCTTCACTGATGGGTCTTACATAGAAAACCAAGCACACGTTGATGCAGGTGTCTACTCTGAACTCTTTTCTTTCTATGCAGCAGCGGGACATAATAGATCCGCTTTTGAAGGGGAAATAGAGGCCATTAGGATAGCACAATGCCAATTATGTTACCTGGATACGGACACAATTGCCTGGCAAGCCACCTTCACATATTTGGAGTATACACTCAAACCACATGCCCCTATGTAACCTACAGGAGGAAATGGAGAAGACCCAACTGATTCGATGTCCAACGAGGGAGAGCCATAGATACTGGGATGCAAGAAGACAGCTAATGAACTGCTATTAATAATCTGCAATATTTGTACACCCCTACCCTTGGGGGAAGCTGAAGTCAAAGTTTAAGTGCTAATGATGAGTATCATAAAGCCTGCCATTTGAAAAAATATTTTGGCTTAATATGAAATTTCAGCTTTGAGGAGCTCAAGTGGACATTTAATCTCAATTTGATATCAGCTCATTATGCACCATGGATTCAAGGCTTGCAAAAAAGAATGTTTTCCACGTGATCAAATTTTGTTAAAATTCTTTATATGCCTGAAAAGTATTAATTCTTAAGTTTAATTTCTTTATTTAGCCTGAATAGCTTTATTTATTTTGACATATATATATATATATATATATATATGTGCGTGGGTGTGTGTGTAGATATATATTTCAGCACTGGTGAGTTTGATTGAAATCGTTTTAAAATTATATATTATCATTCGTTTGATTCAATATCAAGCTGCCAAATAAGGAATATCGCACCCAAAAATAAATTGTCCAATGCAAAGTGACCATTTTTTGGAAATCTCAATTTCGTTATGACACTTTCTACATCTCCAAGTTCTAATCAAGTTATCAAAATGTAATTCATTAATTTGTTTATGACATTTTAAAAAATAGAATTTGTTTATTTTAAATGTCAGGCGTTTTGATAGTTATCTTTTACAGAACATCATAGTGAAAAAATTTCGAGAGGGGGGAGGGAAGAAGAGCGATTCAAGGACGCAAAGAGATAGATGGACACAAAAGGCAGAGAAAAAATTTGATGAGTACTGTTTATATGACATACATTTATTTATTTTATTTCAAATGGCAGGCTTTATGATATTTATC